ACAATTAAGAGTTGTGTTTTTTAAGTTTGGCTCTGCCAGGGGAGGTCTGCCAAAGTAAGAGGCTAATATGGCCAGGGCTGCAAAAGCACTAGACCCCACGCCAGTGAACTTTCCACCACGGTTCCTCTCAGCATTATCAACAGTACAGATTGCTTTATTCTGCTGGAAAACCTTAGGTGACTCTTTTTTTTTAAATCCTCACCTGAGGATTTTTTTTCCATTGTCTTTTTAGAGAGAATGGAAGGGAGAGAGGGAGGGAGAGAGAGACAGACAGACAGAGAGAGAAATATCGATTTTAGAGACACATTGATTGGTTATCTCCCACCTGTGCCCCGACTGGTGCTGGGGATCGAACTTGTATCCCAAATATGTACCCTTGACTGGGAATTGAACCTGTGACCCTTTGGTGCTTGGGCTGATGTTCTAAACATTGAGCACACTGGTCAAGGCATATCAGATGACTCCTGATGAATCTATTTCAATTTCATATTTAGTAGTTAGCCAAAATATGGATTTTAGCATTAAAGTAGACTATATTTAAGAAATTAAATATTTTTGATATTTTTTCATAATTATCAAGGTGAGTGTCTTTTGGAAATATTTTATAAAACAGTACAATGTTTAGGCAACTGTGAAAATAAAAACTTTCTAAATTACTTAATATGTCTCTTAATGTCTCTTAGAAGTATACAGAGAATCTTATTTGTAGTAAAGATAGCTTTAATAACACACCCTGTATTTATAAATCAAGCCATCATCTCAGCTGTATTGAGTGTGGTGGGATGGGAGAATGGTTCAGAAAGATCTTCAAGTTTGAGATAATTGTTAGAAGAAAAGGCTATTTCTTTGGGGTTTGACACTAGACTTGCCAGAGAAATCAGATTGAACTAGAAGGAAGATTTAGTGTCTAAAGTTTTGGGCCTGCACTACAAACACTATAGCAAAAAAAAAGTCACCTTGTAATTCTACCACTCTAACCCATTGTTTTAATTTCTTTTTCTGTTCACTTTTAGTCCTTGATTTCAGGCCATCACTTCATGTAACTTTGCATACAACATAGTTAAAATGCTGCATTTTTTAGGTTATATTGTGCATTCAAGGTTATATTGTGATCACTTTGTCTTAGGGCTATTTTGGTTGTGAGGAACATTCACTCAGTCAAGTTAAATTACCTCAGAAAACAGGTGTGTGTGTGTGTGTGTGTGTGTGTGTGTGTGCGTGTGCGCGCGCTTGCGCTTGCTTTCGTCTAATCTCACAGAAATCCAAGGACAGGAACCTAAGCAGCAAAACTCCACAGGGATTGGAGCTGGGACCCAGAAAGGCTCAGTGGTTGAGCATTGACCCATGCACCAAGAGGTCGCTGGTTTGATTTCTGGTAAGAACACATGCCCAGGTTGTGGGCCTGATCCCCAGTGGGGTGCGTGCAGGAGGCGGCCAATCAATGTTCTCTTTCATCAGTGTTTCTATCTCTCTCCCCCTCTCCCTTTCTCTCTAAAATCAAAAAGAAAAAAAAATTTTTAATAAATAAATTAATTAAAAAAAGAAAGTCGTCCACTACTGAAGCTGCTCTGCCAGGGGCCTTCAGTGGAGTCCTTGCTTCTCTTTGCATTTCTGTTCTGTACTCTCATAACTTCAGGTGTGTATCGCCAATAATGGCCACCCTAAAGGACATGAGTTTACAGTTCCACAGTTTTCTTTCTTCTTCTTCTTTTTGTTTTGTTAATCCTCACCTGAGAATATTTTCCCATTGATTTTTAGAGAGAGTGGGAGGGAGGGAGACAGAGAGGGAGAGAGAAACATCAATGTGAGAGAGAGAGACATCATTTGGTTGCCTCCTGCACCACCCTGATGGTGGCCCGGGTTTGAACCTGCAACCCAGGTATGTGCCCTTGACCAGAATCAAACCTTCAATCCTTCGGTCTGTATGCTGATGATCTAACTGATGAGCCAAACTGGCCAGGGCACTTCCACAGTTTTTAATCATCTCTCTCTCTAGATCTCTTAAAGTCAAATGCAGATTTGATTGGCCTAGTTTATCTTTTCTATTCAATTAGACCACAAAAATAATCAGAGGTTTCTGGATTGGCTGTTACTAGCTCAGGTGGACACACCTTGGTCCAATAGAACGCTGCTGGGGAGGCGGAGCATATGCTCCAGATTCCAGCTCTGCAGACAGCAAGGTCATATGTGGGAACAACCCTCCCTTCCCGCAGCAGTGAGTGTGGGCAGGTAGGCACGAGCTCCCATGTGGCTGTGTAGTCTTTACTACAAGTTTTTTTTTAATCCTCACCTGGGGATATTTTTCTATTTATCTTCAGATAGAGTGGAAGGGAGAGGGAGGGAGAGAATTGGAGAGAAAGGGAGAGAGAGAGAAACATCGTTATGAGAGGGACACACCGACCAGGGTCAGAGAGGAACCGCAACTGAGGTACATGCTCTTAGCAGGAACCCAACCCGGGATTCTCCGGCCAGCGAGCGGAGGCTTTAACCACGGGGCAAACCGGCCAGGGCTGTTGGTTTATTTTAAAGGTGTATGGTAGAGATTTATACATAGGTAGTTATGGGCAAGATAATAGGATGTAATATCTGGAATTTGCTTCAAAAAACTATAGGAAAAAATTGGGGGTGGTAGGTGATAATTGGTGAATTGTTGATAAGTGTTGGAGCTGAAGATAGGTACAGGGAGATTTATGAAACACTATTGTCTTTATTTTGTTGTTTACTTCTCACCTGCCTTCTGTTCCTCTCACTTCTGGATTTTTTTTGTTGTTTCCCCCCATGTTTCTTCTAGATACTTGCTGCCCTCTGGATTCCCAATGACTTTTCTCAGATTCCGTCATCCCTAATACCTGCTTCATAGTTTCCTTTTCCTTTAACAAAAACTTCAGGTCCATCCTCTATCCACCCATTGAATAATTCGTTCACATAAAAAATTTGAGCCTGTGTATTGGGAAAGACACTGGGACAGGTGCAAAATGTAGTCACTTTCATTGTTGTAGATGTTACCAGACAGCTAGCTACTAAGAGGAATACAATCACAACTTATATTGTACCATGAGATAAGAGACAGATAATTAGCTTAGCACTCTTGGGAAGAACTGTATTATAGGAGAAGCCAAGAACTCTCCAGTGGGGTGGGCTGTGTGATAAAGCACAGGGCACAGCAGTAGGCACAGCTTGGGAGAGAGGGTCCTTTCCTTCAGTATCTACCTCCTCCAAACTGCCTTTTTGCCCAGTGGTTCAGCCTTTATGAATTTCAAACTGGAAGCTACATTTTGAGATCACATTTTTTTAGTAAAATGAAAATTGTACATAGTAAGATCCTTGGGATTTTTTTTTTTTAATAGATATTTTTCCATCTATTTTCAGACAGAGTGAGAGGGAGAGAGAGAGAGCGAGGGGGAGAGAGAAAGAATCATCCATGTGAGAGAGACACATCGATTGGCCGCCTCCCATCTCACCCCGACCAGGGTTGGGGACTAACCACAACTAATGTACATACCCTTAACCAGAATTGAATCCAGGACTCTTTGGTCCGCAGGCCGATACTCTAACCACTGAGCAAAACTGGCGGAATTTTATTAACATTTACTTTTTTATTTTTTAAACCTCACCCAAGGATGTTTTTTTTTGTTTATTTTCAGGCAGAGTATGAGGGAGGAGGAGGAGAGAGAGAAACATCGACGGGAGAGAGACACATCAATTGGTTGCCTCCCGCCTAACCCCAACCAGGGCTGGGGACCAAACCGCAACCGAGGCATGCGCCCTTGACTGGAATTGAACCCGTGACTCTTTGGTCTGAGGCTGACGCTCTAACCTCTGAGCCAAACTGGCCAAGGCAGGATTTTTGTAACACTTAATATAAAGCATTTAAATGTCTCAAGTGCTCAAAGAAATTAATATTTTATATTCATGCTGAAAAAGCAAAATTCAAATCATATGGCTTCATTTGCTATTCATTTCCCCAAACATTAGTAAGTTACAGGTGTTATATGAGCTAAATGAAATTGCAGGGGGACAATTCTGGGGTCTTTCTGCTTTTGAAAGTCACAATATTAAAAAAAGAAATCTCAGAGTAGTTCCTGACTCCCTGAAGCTGGAACACCAGGAGGCGTGACTGTTCAGCCTTGTGAGTGCCTGTGTCTTGCAAGGTTTGAGATTTTCCTGGAGCTCCCATGGCTCCTCCACACGCCTCCCTACTTTTGCATTCTTCAGCTTGGATTATAATTTCATTTTAAATTGTCAGTCTCCCTTAGTGGAAGGACAGAGATTCTGTGCTTTTTTTTTATTTTTTTTTATCTTCACCCAAGGACATTTTTCCATTTTTTGTTCAGGTAGAGTGGGAGGGAGGGAGGGAGGGAGAGAGAGAGAGAGAGAGAGAGAGAGAGAGAGAGAGAGAAGCATCGACATGAAAGGGACACATCGAGTGGTTGCCACCCACATGACCCAACCAGGACCAGGGACAAACTGCAACCTAGGTACATGCCCTTAGCGGGAACCAAACCCGGGTCTCTCTGGACCGAAGGTCAACGCTCTAACTGCTGAGCCAAACCGGCCAGGGTGGATTCTGTGCTTTTAATGCCTGGAATGCATCTGGGCATCAGTGAACATCAGTTGAATGGAACTCCTCCCCCTAATCATTTTCTTTTAAAAATCCCCATAAGTCCTCCCTGATAGATTCTCTTCTTTCTTGCACAGACCCCAAGGTGGTCCCATTCTTCAGCCTGACTCTGAAGACCTCCTGATGATAAAGTAAATGCTGTAAGCAAACTGCCTGTCAGAGACTCAAAAACCTTACATGATTCCCCCCAAAGGAGTGCTTAATGCGGACGGGGTGCCTGGATCCAGGTCATCCAGAATATGCCTTTGCCATCAGCTTTCCCTTTCCGGAAACGGAGTTGTTACCTTTAAACTTAAACTCTTCAGTGCGTAGTTTTCCCCCCCACAAAACTGATTAAAGATTTCCAAACACAAGCTTATAATTAAAAATCCACAATTGATCCAATTCAGAATTTACTGTGAGCACAGCAGGACAGCAAACATTTATTGTTAGGTAACAGGTGGTGTACGGCTAAGTATTGGACCAACTTTCCTTGAGTTCTTCTCTGCAGTCTTCTGCTTCAAATTTCCCTTCTGTATTTGCAACGGTTTGCCATGGTGGGTTGGCTTGTTGTTATGAGAGGTGGAGTGGGGTGGGGAAAAAGCAAAGCAAAAGAAGGAACATGGGGCGAATGCAGCCTCCTTTGGAGCCTCGTTACTGGAACTCGGGGCAGTTCCCCTGATCTGTGATAGTCATTTTCTCAATGTCAATGTTATTAGAGATCAGGATATCTTTGAGCTGGGTCACTGTTTCTGGAGGCAGATAAGGGTTTCTTCCCAAGATCCAAACATGATCTACGTGAAACAGCCAGACGATTGTGGTACAGGAGTACACGAGGGCGTAGTTCTCGTAGTCAGTGGCTAGGACCCAGTACGGAGCCGAAGGCATCACTGAGAACCAGAGGAGGGCAGTATTAGGAGGGACCAGAGGAAGAGAAACCTTAATCTTCTGGGACCTGGACGCCACATTCTGGTGTCCTGGTTCTTCTAGATCAGTGAGTCTTAATTCTGCCTTCATGTGGGGGTTGTATGGGAGCTTTGAAAAATACTAGCCCCGCCCCTACCCCCACTCCTCCTTGGATTCTGATATGGAGGTGGTTGGTACTTTTAAAAGCTCCCCTGTGATTCTAATATGCAGCTTGAGTTCAGAGGTAGCATTCTGGATCCTCCCTGGTAGGACCGGGTAGCAAGTTGATCTGGGGAAGCCCATAGTAACTGGAGTGGGGGAGGTTGGCTGGAGCCCCTGGACTGACAGGCTGCACGTAGCACTAGTGCAGATAGAGGCACTACTTAGCTAAACAGAGTCAAGGATGTAAGGCCATGGGCTTCAGGCTTTCTGAGTCCCTACCACCCAGCTTCCTCAAGAACTTGACCAAGGGAGGAGGTAGTGGCTAACATTGGTTTGCTTGTTTTTCTTCCTGCCTGCCCTTTGACAATCCTTCCATTCTTCAGAATATGGTAAATAAGGTGGTAACAGTTTGTAAGCTCTTCCTTACAAAGGGTCTATGAAGATTCATTGATTAATACTGTATAGCATTGAAAGCCCAAGATTAAAAGGGTCCTAAAGAAAAGAGATGGGGGATTTGCTCTCTCCATTTGAATCCAGAAACTTCCTCTGTGAATTTGACCTCTACAGTCATGCTTCAAACCAAGGAAAACTCAAGCATAGCTTGTTAAAGTTAAGGGAAAGATGGACCCACATGGGAGAAAGATGTGTGCCGACCCCGTAAGAACCAGACTTGGACACATATACAGTCCTGGGTAATTTGCTTCCCTGGGTTTTAATCCTGCCCCTTCCACTCAAAAATAATCTCACTGTTTGCCAAGTCAAACGGAGCTAAACTGCTCGACAGAGGCAGTATGAGCGTGGTTAGAGCTTGTCTGGGGGCTCAAGGACCCAGCTGATTATTAGGACCACACAGAGGACCGGTTCAGATGACCACCCACCAAGATCTCTCCTACCTCTGACTTTCTGTTTATAAAAATAAAAATAGAAGGACACTTGGAGGATGTCTGGACAGAACTCTGGTCAAGGCTGCAGGAGCTAGACTGAGTAGTGTTTCTGGCTTACACTTTTAGCACCATTAGTGCCATCTGCCTGGCTCACTCATGAGAGCCTATATTCCCCATGTGTCTGCTACAGCTGAGTTTCAGCTGCGTTGTGTGTTCCCAGCTGGAGTGAGAGCCCTTCAGCCCGAGTGATATGTCAGCAGCTTCATCGTGCCCCACTTGCACACTCTCAGGCATGCACATTCTGTCTTCCTCCCACAGAGTCTAGCACTCAAGCATGAATTTACCTAGATATTTTCCTTTTAGTAAAGAAAACTCCCATGTCTCTTGATTAGAAAACTTTTGACAGTCTCCTGTTGCTTATGGAAGGACCTTCAAATTCTCTAACATGGTACTGGAGACCCTCCCCAGTCTTGTCTCCCGCTCCATGGACCCTTCAGACCTTTTTTCATGCCATTCCCTCCACTTGGAGCATCCTTTCCCATAATCTCCCACACACCCTGCCAAAGCCAATGCAAACATCTGATCCCTTCAACCACAATACATCTCTTCCTCCTCTGCTTTCCCAACCAACAACTCTTGCCTCTTTTAGTTCCTATTTGGTTTCCTGATGAAGGTTGTGCACATAATATTTGACCTTCACTCCCATCCCCATCCCTCAGTTGAGAGTTTGGAGACCTAGGTTTTAGTCCCAAATCTACCTCTAATTAATCCAATAACTGTGCCTGTATCACCTAACTTTTATTTACTCTCTTATTTGTAGAAATCACAAGAGAAGCTGACCTGTACAAAGCCCTTTACAGCTTACAGAGCATGTGTTATCTAGTTATCTACACAACCTAGATGTAGATGTGAAGTTAGCTGCCCATAGTGATGTGCGTGGGAGGAACTGTTTTCTCCTCTCAGCATTCCTATCTTGCTCTACAGAATAACAACTTCCTCTCTGCCTCACTCTAGGCCCCTCATCAGCGGAGGGATGGGGGAGGAGGGTGGTGATTCCTCTTGCAGTTGGTGATTTCAGTGTCTGCCCCAGGTGGGGAGAGGTGCTCCCAAGCACTCTTTCATTAGAAAACCTCACAATTCTGAACTGAATTAAACTAATTAATTCAGCAACAAAACTAATATGCGGTGCTTTTTCTGCTGCCTGTCTATTCCTCAGTTAGCCCAGAACTCAAGAGGGCAAATGACTGTGATTAAATATCTCTCAGGGACCCCAACAATGAGGCTGGAAAGTAGCGGACAGAGCCAACTCTCAAACTTACCTTCACTCTTATCAATTTCTTGTCTCCAAGCTTTTGCACATGTTAGTTGTGCTAATAATTACTAATTTTGCAGGGTTCGGTTTCCTGTAGGAAACAAGACTGGATTGGGTGCCCTACTGCTCAAGCACTGTATGCTCCAATCTGTGCTCCCTCTATTGAAACACTCACTGTAGTTTTATAATAAACTGCCTGGGTACTTGTCAGTATTCGCGCGGGGATGTAAGCTCCTCAGGGACAAGGGCCAGCTCTGTCCTCCTCATCATTGCATCTCCAGCAACTTGCCCAGTACCTGACATGTAGTAGGTGCTCAATAAATACTCATTGAATCATTATGAATGCCACTCAGATGTGACACAAGTGATCCAGCCCAGGGCTCTAACCCTCATTTTGCTTATCTCCTGTCCCTGAAAACTTCTGAGAGAAGTGGATACTTACACCAAAAAAACTTCACTCCCAACTTGGCAGGCTCTGTGAGGTTGACCTGGGAGGCTTCACCTTCAATTTGATTCACAGTTCCATCAGATCTGCAATGAGTTCAAAAAGAACCTGAACTAATCGAAAGCAAAAATCTCTGAAAGGCAAGATTTGTTACACTAAGAACCATAGTGACCAACATTGTGATTTCTGTTTAGGGAGGATCTTGAAGGCAGGTGGACTCTAGTTCCATTCTTTCCTCTTCACTTTGCGACTGTCTCTGAGACCAAGCAGAGGAAGACAAGCTTGGGAAGGTATGAAACAGCGATTGCATTGCTCTAGGATTGGATACTATGTTCGGCCCTTGCACTGCAACACTGTTTTTGGACAGTATGCAATGGCCTGCAAGGCTCCAGAAAGTGGAAGTTAAAAAGGAAAAACATGCAAAACAACCCAGTACACTAAGAATTCACTTTTAAAAAGTAAATCACTTCTTTAAACATGAAAAGGGGCAAAAACATGGAGTCTGGAGATCTGCAAGACCCTCTTTTAGCCTTAGTGATCTCATGTGACACCATCTTTCCCACAGGTGATGGTCTTAGGGTGTATAAAACACTTTCACTCTTTCTAATGGAGCTGGCCCTGTTTCTGGATAACTCCCAGTGACCTCACGGAGCATGGGGAGAGGGGAAAGGCCTGGGGATGGAGGCAGCACACAGGGCAGTGCTCAGCCACCAGGGTGCTCTTATTAGGAAGCTGGGAGAGGAGCTGCCTGTTCATCTGTCCTCGAGGGAGCAAACTAAAATTAGAGCAGTAGTACCCGTCAGAAGGTCAGGAGGCTATGAATAGTGGTGATGGATGTCTTAGAAACCAGACAACAATCACTAGGTAAGGAAGGGTGGGAAATGTACTCTGCCGATCCTGGATGCATTGTCTGTTTATCGTTGAATAGGGCGGAGACACAGCCCTGCTCTCTCACCTGGAACTCAGCCATTAGGAAGATGGTCCATTTCTATCTGCATACAGTTGCTTAGCAACAAACCAGTCTCTTCCCATCAGACTTTTCCCCTTTTCACTATCATTTGCATTGTGCTTCAGAACAGTTTTTGAAACACCACTCACTGATCATAAATTTATAACTTTTTCATGGGGAAAATGAATGAGTATTTTCAAGGGTAGCAGCAGACTAATAATAATAGGAAATATTTATTAAATGATTACTATACACCCAGCACTGGTCTAAGTGCTTTACACGTATCGCCTCACTCTTGCAAACAAAACTGTCTGGGGGAGGTGCTATGATTGTTGCCATTTTACCTGGGTGGAAAGGGAGGCTGAGAAAATTAGTAAGTGGTAGAAGAACCAGGACTTGACACCAGGCAGCCTTTCTCAAAAGCCTGAGCCCTTCAGCTTCCAACCCTGTGCCAGTTGCTTTGTCTGTCAGATTCTCTGACACTGGCTAGTGTTTTGCTCAGACTCTCTGCTGTGCCCTGCGCTCACTCTGCAGTGCTCCTGGAAGGAGAAACTATACCCGTTTCCTGAACTAGCAAACCTTCCTTTGTGTCCTCTTGTACCTTAACCAGATGTGACCCTAGCACTCAAGACCCTGGCCAACTCTGACGGAGAGTGGGGGAATCACATAGGTGTTGGGATCTGTTTCATTGTCTGACTCTTAATCTTAGAATGGGACGAAATATTTGAAAAAAGTCATTGCAACTTTAGGGCCTACAGAATTCTTGTGAGATCTTCTGGGTGTCTACATCCTACTTCCTGTAGCCCTTCCTGGGCTCCGAAGTGAGCTGAATTTTTCTCTAGGCCCTCAAGGTCCTCACTTTGTTTCTTTGGGTTACACAGGGTCAGGGTCAACCCACTGTGTTTTGGCTCACAAGAAGCTCAGTAGATAATAGGATGGCCTCAGAAAGCCCCTCTGAGTTCAAGTAACTTCCAGGCTGGGTTGGCGTTGTTTTCTTAGAGTTGAACACAATTCTCAGATCCCGTAGGGAACTGGGACAACCCTACATTCCCAGCCGTCCCGTTATCTGTCTTCGGTTCTCTTCCCCATTTCACTTCTCCCTGGGTTGGGATCTCAGCTTCGTGTCACTTATAAGTTGTGTGATCCTTGGGCAAATTACTTTACTTCTCTGTACCTCAGTTTCCTTATCCATGAAAATGGGGTTAGACCCAGAGAAATGGAAGTAGGGAAAAGACTGTCAAACCTCAGAGAGAAGGGGGTGGTGGGAAGAGGTAAACTGAAAAACTGATATGCATATATGCATAACCAATGGACACAGACAACAGTACTGTGAAGGCAGGGGCGGGAGTGGGAGAGGGGAGGAGGGGGTCAGAGGGGGAAAAAAGGAGGGACATCTATAATACTTTCAACAATAAAGATAAATTTAAATAATAAAATAGTAATAGCACTACCTCAGGGTTGTTATGGGATTAAATCAATATACAGGGTGGGGCAAAAGTAGATTTACATTGTGAGTATGTGAAACAGTTTATTCTTGTATTATTATTTATTCATTATTGTACTATTTTCCATATAAACTGTAAACTTACTTTTGCCCCACCCTTTATATACGTACCCATATAGGTACATACACATGTATATCTACATGTACACACAGAATAGTGCCTTGCACATAGGAAATGCTTAATAACTGTTAGTTACTGTATTTATTGTTGCTGTTATCTTTGTTGATGGAGAGTGCATGGGAGTTTTCCTGAGGCTTTTATAAGTTTATGGCTGCTTTTCAAAGTGTGAATTTTGGGATCAAACATCAAATGGGAAAAGCCCTCTGTAATAGAAAAGTACATTTCTGTAGGCTATCCTGTTCACATACTCTAGTGTGTGACTACGGATGTATTTGATCTTTTTGTTTAATAAGAAAAGCGTTTTTGTGTTTTATCCTCACCTGAGGATACTTTTTTGCATTCATCTTCAGATAGAGCGAGAGGGAGAGAGGGAGGAAGAAAGAGAGAGAGAAACACCGATGTGAGAGAGACATATTGACTGGCTGCCACCCACTCGACCCCAACCGGGGCTGGGGACAAACTGCAACCGAAGTATGTGACCTTAGTGGGAACCGAACCCAGGTCTCCCTGAACTGTGGGGCGGACACTCTAACCGCTGAGCCAAACCGGCCAGGGCAGAAAAGGTGTTTTCTAACAGCTGAAGCTGTTTGGAGATGGGATAACCGGTCATGGATGGTGATATGCTCCCAGTGCCTGGAAGCTTCAAGCTAAGCTGGATGCCCACTGTCAGTACATGATATAGGACGGGCTTCTCTTCTCCTTTGGAGTCAGACAAGATGGTCCCTGATGTCTTTTACTACCACAATATCCACTTTGCAGTGAGAACAGGATTTCCACTGAGTCCCTAGTGCCTCTCACAGGATCCAGTGCACAGTAGGTGGTCAGCAAGTGGTCATGGAAATGAGTGAGTGACTTCTAGCCCTCATCATCCTGCCCACCGAAAGCTTTCCTCTCAGGGCCTGTTGCGGAGAGTCAGTCCAGACCCAGCAATGATGGAATCCTCCCTGAACTAGACTGCAAGGACACCCAGTCACCCCAGGACAGCTCTCTGCAGGGCCGGCTCCAGGATGTGCAGTGCCTTTGAAACCACAGCCACTCACCTCAGCTCCTGGTTTATCACTTTGATGTTTCCGTTTTCCATTAGTGAGTAGTTGGCTTGGATGCAGCTTCCCTTCTCAAAGCTCACTGGGATCTTCTCAATTTCATACCATCTTCCAAGATACTGCAGAGACAACAACAAGCAGAGCAAAACCCTGTGGCCCTCTGGGGACCTGCAAACTCTTCTCCATTGTCGTCTTTCAGAGCAGAGCCCTTTCCTGGGGGAGAACCAGGCAAAATGGGCTGCATTGTTTCCAGTGGCAACTGAGCAAGATACTGATTCAAAGGAGAACAAGTGAATCGGATGTGTGGGCATTGATTGAATGTCACTTTCTGTTCCTAAAGTGCTCCTTATTTAGATATGCTCTCAGTGTCTCCTTCAGCCAAAATCTATGTGAAATTCAAAACTCTGTCAAAGGAAGGGATTTGTCTAGATGATGTTAGGTGCCATTTCAAACGTTTTATGATTCTTCAAGGTGTCTCTGAATTGTGTACAAAGTTAGATATGTTCACTGTGGGATTTCAGAGGTGGTTGAATTCTCCTCACGTGACCCCACACAAAGTTGATCACAAAGGCTTTTGGAAGACAATCAGGAGTTAGAAGACCTGTATCGTTCTTCCACGGGGGGCTTGCTCTCAGTTCATAACTTCGTGTAGAGTCAACATTACAGGAAGTGTGCAACCGTGTGGGTGAGGTCAAGCACTCTCCTGCTTCTATACATTGCCTTGCACAGAGACAGAACCAATTTACAACTTTCGTGAAGGGTAATTTGGCAGTACCTAGCACAACTAAATATGCATGTACTTTTTGGCCCAGCAATTTCACTTCTGGGAATGAATCCTCTGAGAAGGAGAAATGATGTATGTATAAGATTATTTGTTGTAGTACAGTTAGTAATAATAATAATAATAAAAAGGAAACAGTCTCAATGAACATTATTAGGGGGTTGGGTAAATAAATAATGACACATTTATATAGTGGAATGCTATACATCCTCTTTTAAAAGAGTAATATGAAATTATCTCTAAGATACATTTAATAAAAAGAGTCAGGTGCAAATAGTGTATATATTAAGCTACCTTTTGTGTAAAACAACACAAATTTACTTTCTTATAGTTCTGACATGGGTCTCACTGGGCTAAAATCAAGATGTTGGCAAGGCTGTATTCCTTTCCGAGGCTCTAGAAGAGCATCTGTTTTCTTGCTTTTTCCAGGTTCTAGGATCTCAATTTCTCTATCTACATACGAAAATGCAATGTTTAAAAAGAATCCTGGGGCCTGGCTGGTTTGACTCAGTGGTTAGAATGTCAGCCCACGGACCGAAAAGTCGTGGTTTCAATTCCTGGTCAAGGGCATGTACCTCAGTTGCAGGTTTGATTCCTGCCCTGGTTGGGGTTGTGCGGGAGGCAACCAATCGATGTGTCTCTCTCACATCTCTCTCTCTCTCTCTCTCTCCCCCTCCCACTCTATCTAAAAATCAACAGAAAAATATCCTTGGGTGAGGATTTACAAAAAAAGAGAATCCTGGAAAGGAAGAAGTATAACTATCTATCTCTATTTGCAGATGACATGATTATGTATATAGAAAACCCTAAGGAATCCATACACACACACAAACTATTAGAACTAATAAATGAATTCATCAAGATAAATGGATACAAGATCAATATGCAAAAATCAAATCTATTTCTACATTTAAAATGAGAAACCTGCAAATGAAATTAGGAAAATTCTATTTACAATAACATTAAAAAAATAAAATATGTAGAAATAAATTTAACCAAAGAGGCATAAAACTTATACTCTGAAAACTACATTGTTGAAAGAAATTAAAGACCTAAGTAAATGGAAAGGTATTTTACTCTATTTACTTATTTATTTTTTTAATCCTCACCCGAGGATATTTTTTCATTTATCTTCAGATAGAATGGGAGGGAGGGAGGGAGGGAGGGAGAAAGAGAGAAACATCAACATGAGAGAGACACATTGACTGGTTGCCTCCTGCATGACCCCGACCAGGGCCAGGAAGCGAACCACAATCGAAGTACATGCCCTTGACCGGAATCGAACCTGAGACTCATTGGTCCACAGACCGAGGCTCTAACCTCTGAGCAAAACCACCCAGGACTGAAAGATATTTTAAATTCATGAGTTGGAAGACAAAATTGTTAAAATGGCAATTGATATATAACAGATTTAATGTAATCTCTATTAAAACTCCCAATAGACTTCTTCATAGAAATTGAGATACTCACCCTAAAATTATATGGAAATGCAAAGGACCCTAAATAGCCAAAAGAACAAAGTTGGAAGACTCATACTTTCTGATTTCAAACCTTAACTACAAAGCTATAGTAATCAAGACTGTATCGTATTGGCATAAGGATAACCATATAGATCAATAAAATACAGTTGAGAGTCCAAAAATAAACTCTTACATATACGGTCAATTGATTTTTGACAAGAACGCCAAGACTATTCAGTGAGAAAAGAATAGTCTTCTCAACAAATAGTTCTGGGACAACTGAATATCCACATGTAAAAGAATAAGTTGGGCTCTTATATTACACTATATACAAAATTTAACTTAAAATGGATCACAGACTTAGATCTAAAAATCTTTTAGGAGAAAATATAGTAGTAAATCTTTATAACCTTGGATTAGGCAATGGCTTTTTAGATATGATGCCAAACCACAAGCAACAAAAGAAAAAATACATAAATGGACATCATTAATATTAAAAACTTATATGTATCAATAAAGTAAAAAGACAATCCATAAAATGGGAGGAAAAAAACTTGCAAATCATATGTCTGATAGGAATTTGTATCTAAAACACATAAAGAACACTTATATCTCAATAATTAAAAGATAAATAACCTGACTGAAAATGGGTAAAGAACTTGAATAGACATCTCCAATAAGCACACGAAAAGATGCTCAACATCATTAATTATTAAGGAAATGTAAATCAAAACCACTGTAAGATACCACTTCATAGCCACTAAAAATTTCTATAATCAGAAATATAACAATAAAAAGTGTGGGCAAAGTTATGAAAAAATTAGAATTATACACTCCTGGTTGTAATATAAAATGGTGTGGGTCTCTTGGAAAAGAGTCTGACAGCTTCTCAAAAGATTAAACATGGAGTTACTATATGACCTAGCAATTCTATTCCTAGGTATATACCCAGGTAAAAGAATATATGTCCATGAAAACAAACAAGCAGACATAAAATCTTGGTCATAAATACTCCTAGCAGCAGCATTCTTGATAGTCAAAAAGTGTAAATAACCCAAATGATGAACAGGTGAATAAAATGTGGCATAAACCATACAGTAGAATATTATTCTGCAATGAAAAGAAATGAAGTACTGATATATATTACAACATGGATGAATCTTGAACACTTATGCTGCTAAAAGAAATCAGTCACAAAAGACCTACTGTATGATTCCATTTCTATGAAATGTCTGGGATAGGCAAATTCATACAGAGAGAAAGCAGATTATTGTTGCCGAAGCAGAGGAAGTTGGGGGAAGTGAAGAGTAACTGTTAATGGGTATGGCGTTTCTTTTTGAGATGCTGAAAATGTTCTAAAATTGATTGTGGTTGATGGTTTCATAACTGTGAATGCACTAAAAACCACTGAAAGTGAAGGCTACTTTAAATAGGTAAGTTATATAGCATATGGATTATATCTCAGTAAAACTTTCTGCTTTATTATTCAAAGGACTTTAGTAAATATAGATTGATTATAATTTGCAAAGCATCTTGGGATTTTTACCCCAAAACTGAAATGTAACTCAAATTCCTTAAATTTTTTCTCCAAAGCCTCTTATACCTGTATAAAGGAATCACCCCTTAATAATTAATGGAGTAAGTCAGCATATATCTCTCCTTCTACCTCCCTGTTTGAACTCTATTGATGGTGCTCCTTCTTCCCAACCCTTTCAGGCTTTGAGCTCTCTTCCCTCATTCTCTGCCTAATCCGTGCCCTAAAATGTCCCAACACTCATTCAAACTGAGGTGTGAGTGACTGATAATAACTTCAATGTTACTCATAACAAGTAAATTGCTTCTTTTTTTTTTTTTTGGTACAGATAGAGTGGGAGGGAGAGAGAGGAAGAGAGAGAGAGAGAGAAACATCGACGTGAAAGGGACACATCGAGTGGCTGCCACCCGCACGACCAATCAGGGCCAGGGACAAACTGGAACCGAGGTACATGCCCTTAGCGGGAACCAAACCCGGGTCTCTCCGGACCGCAGGCCAACGCTCTAACCACTGAGCCAAACTGGCCAGGGCTAAATTGCTTCTTTTTAAAATAATTTTTCTATATTGATTTTAGAGAGAGGGAATCGGAAAGAGAGAGAGAGATAGAAACATCGATGACAGAGAACATCAATTGGCCACCTCCTGCATGCTCTCCACTGGGGATCAGACCCACAACTTGGGCACGTGCCCTGACCAGGAATCGAACCGGTGACCTCTTGGTACATGGGTCGACGCTCAACCACTGAGCCACACTGGCTGGACGTGAATTGCTTCTTAAAAGAGAGATCCTTTTATTCAAGGAGAGTATATTTTAACAAGAGGTACTAGGCCTAATTAGCAGCAATGAGAGCCTCTAAGTCATGTCATCCAATAGCGGCCTCTTTCTGCTGCCCATCCCCCATACCTGGCCACACAGGTATTCAGTAAGACTGGGCCAAATTTGAGGAAGAAAAGTCATATTGATATCTCTTTAGTGCAGATAACAAGAAAGCCCCTTAGGGAGTTCTTCCTCTTCTAGGCCCTGTGTGGGGTAACCGGTGGGTGTTCTGCACCACTGGGAAGCCTAGTTTTAATCCTGATCTGCGTTTTCTGGCTGTGTGACTGGGTAGCTTACAAGCTCTCCAACATCCAGCTTCTTCATTGGTAGAATGGAGACAAGGGTACTGCAGTCCTCTTAGCCCAGCTGTGTGTTTACCCCCGTCACTGACAACTCCCACACACACTGCCCCTCTGTCTCCTCTGCCAGACAGCTTTGCCATGGGAGCTCCCATGGCCACCTGCATCTGTCCATGGGACAATCTGAGATGCATTCCACACATTTCCTTAGAGGATCCTCAGAAGGATTGAACCCCGCTGTTCACAGAGTAACCTGCTCCTTGATGCACCCTTTATTGCTTTTCTGCCTTTTCTGTCTCACTTTCCCTACATGCTCACTCAAGCTTCCTGTGATCATCTTACAAACACTTCCTGCTCCCAGTTCTTTTTTGTTTTATTATGTTTTTATTAATTTTTTAGAGAGAGAGAGGAAGGGGGAGGATGAGAAAATCAATGTGAGAGAGAAACATCAATTGGCTGCCTCCTACAGGTCCCCAACTGGGGATCAAGCCTGCAGCCACATGCCCGGGAATTGAACCAGGACCTCTCGGTCCATTGGATGATGCTCAATCCACTGAATCACACTGGCCAGGCTCTGCTCCCAGTTCTTGTGTCAAGAGTTTGCTTTAGGGGAACCACAAATAAGGTAAATACCTCCCCCAAGGCTTGCCGTGCCCATCAAAGCAGAACAATAAAACTGAGCCTTAAAAAAATTTTTTTTAAAAGCCCAGCTGGTGTGGCTTCATGGTTGAGCATCGACCCATGCACCAAGAGGTTGCTGGTTCGATTCCTGGTCAGGGCACATGCCCAGGTTGTGGGCCTGATCCTCAATGGGGGGCATGCAGGAGGTGGCCAATTGATGTTCTCTCTCATTGATGTTTCTATCTCTCTCTCCCTCTCCCTTCCTCTCTCTCTAAAAATCAATGAAGAAATAAAATTAAAAACAACAACAACTGAGCCTTGTAGGGTGCTTATTCAAACAGGAGACAGCAAAACAAGTGGGAGGTTAGCCTTTTACCACACCTTATTCACGTCAAAATTCTCCTGCACAGGAGGAGTCGGGCACTTCCCAAGATGGAAGGCTTGTCCCTCTGCGGCACCGAAGAGGCCCGCCAGTGCGGGAAGCAGCAGCAGCAGCAGCAGCGCCTTCACCATCTTGAGGCGGGGGGTCTGGGGATGGAACCTGGAACTGGAGGAAAAAAGCAGCTGGAGCCTTCTGAGCAATCGCTGGAGAAAGATTTATGGACTGGCTGGTCCCTCTGTGGGCAGTCCTCCCACTCAGCCAGTGTGAGTCCTGCATCCTCCAGGGCCACCTGAACTGTGAGGTCTGCCTCCCCTGGGAGCCTCTCTCTAGAACCTTTGCACCTGCATCAGAGCACACTCGTCCTGGTAGTAGACTTCGTTGGATTTATGTTGCAACTTCTCCCCCTCACCTGATTAGGCATTTTTCAAGGGTGGACACGGTGTCTAATTCTCCCTGGACTCTCCCACAGAACCTTGCAGTGTCAGGCACAGTAGACACGTGAATGAACAGAAACAATGTGGGGACAGGGGATAGGCAAAGGGAGACACTGAAGCTGTCAAGGGAACCATGAGAGAGAAACAACAAAAATAAATCACTTACGACATTTAGTATCTTATGAGATTCATAAGAGAAATGCCCCCTGACCCCACTCCCCAACACTGCCCCCATCTTGCTGGGCTGTTTCCCAACCCAGGAGTGGCCCTGGAAACCTTGACAGGGAGCAGCGGCCTAGGCACACCCCAGTCACCCTGAACAGGTTTGAATTCTGGCTTTGCCACATACTGCGTATAACTGTGTTCAATTTATGCTTCAGTCTCCTGGTCTATTAAGTAAGAATAGTAATCATACCCACCTTATGAAGTTTTGCAAGAATTAAATGAAATAATAGAGCATTTAGAGCAGCATCTGATACTGAGAAGATGCTCAATAAATGCTAGTTATTATTACTATGAAAAGCAGAAATAAGTGATTGTTTCCCGAATTTCTCTTCTTTCATTTATTTACATTCTATTGGGGATATTTTTCATAGACGTGTATTTAACTTGAGAAAGACTAATAGCTGGCATGCAACTTTGCAACCAGTATTTCTGCCCAAAGCACTTTTCCGACAGTGGAGGCTGCGTTGAGGAGGGGCAGCAGGTGGGGTTGGGGGGCCGCAGGGTTGCTGGCAGGGTCTGAGCATCCAGGCTGTTCCCTGCTTCTCTCACTGACTTGTTTTCAGTCTGTTCTCTTCCATGTGACTCCTTGCTTGTAGCTGCACAAGAGCTATTTCCAGCTCTTTGCCTTTCTCCCTGTGATGAGCAGGACTGAAGCAACACAGGCAAAATGTTCTCAGATCTGAGCATTTAAAAGGATGTGTCATAATAGGAATAATTATAACCACTTTATTATGAGTCTCTAAACCTTCAAATGACCTTGAATGATCAATAGCTTTTCTTCTGGAGGTTTCCTGGCTGGTTTTCAAAAGAAAAATTACATAACAAGTAAAAGCTGCCAGAGGGTGGAGAGGGCGGGGGAGGGGTGGTCACTGAGCCCTGCCCCCCTTAGCAAGTCTGCAGGGATGGGAGGGACCAACTTCTATTTTCTCTGAAGCTCCCTTTCCCATCAGCCCCTACCACCATGTAACTTTTCCAGGGATGATGGATTTCCAGAAACCCAGCCTAAACCTACAAAAATTTGCAACCATTTCCAAGAGGCTCTTAAAACCACTGGAGCTCTACTCTTGGCCCCCAGGAGGCTCCACGTTCAGTGCCTTGCCCAGCCGCTCTAACCTCAAAGGAGAGTCACACATTCTACACGATCCCCCGAACAGGTCAGGCCCTTAGAGGTAATTTATCCAACCCCTCCCCCGAGGTGTACAGATGGGGACACTGAGTCCCAGTGGGGCAGAGAGCTGGGATTTGGGCCCCATCTCCCACGGCTCGTTCTGTATCGCCCTGAGCATGCTTCCTTCTGCACACCACCTCTGTAACCTGACGGGTCTCACCTCGCCGTGTGACAGTTGCACCAGAAGTCAGCTCTACATCTTGCTCTGACAATTATCTTATTGCAAAATGTTCTATTGTGGGCTGAAACATGTTTTTTAGTTTTGTAGGAGGATTTCAGAGCAAGGCTTAATTCCCCCTGATTGCATCTCTTCCAAAAATATCTCTTTATTGCAGTCATTTTATTCCTATAATTGAAATTTTTTGTGAGAGAAAGGGTTGATAAGATCCATAATTTTTTCAATGTCCCTTCCATTCTAATTCACCCAACACTTACTGAGTACCTACTGAGGGCAAATCACATTATTAACATATACCTCTGAACTTGAGTGTATATGACATATATTTTTGCATCTTGTAAATAACACTAATGAGAAGATTGTCCTAATGACAAGAGTTTAAATACTTTTAAAAATAAATACAGATGTATTTTAAAATAAATGCAATTTAAATATTAGTTTAGCTGAATAGTGAATAATTTAAGAATAATTCGCTCTGGTCGGTTTGGCTCAGCGGTTAGAGTGTCGGCCTGCGGTCCAGAGAGACCTGGGTTCGGTTCCTGCTATGGGCATGTATCTCTGTTGCAGTTTGTCCCCGGCCCTGGATGGGTCGTGCGGGTGGCAACTACTCGATGTGTCCCTTTCATGTCGATGTTTCTCTCTCTCTCTCTCCCTCCCACTCTATCTGAACAAAAAAAATGGAAAAATGTCCTCTGGTGAGGATAAAAATAAATAAATAAATAAATAAATAAATAAATAAATAAATAAATAAATAATTCTAAGATGCATCCACTGGGCTGGCACTGACTGAGAACCACTGCTCACAAGCATTGAGCTTCCCTACCCAGAAGCCCAGCCTTAGTATTTCACATGTGCCAGGTACTGAATTACCACAACATCCTGTCTAGAAGGGTCCTGTGCTGAGCTCAGTGAGGTCAGTTTGCCCAGGTTACTTCCTGGTCAGCCGTGGAGCAGATCTTAGGCCAGATCTCCTAAGACTCTGCACTCCTAACACCTGCATGTTAGCATGGACCTCGTCTCTGATCTCAAGAAGCTATAGAACATTAAGGACTAGATGTTTGGATTTCACATGATAACAACCAATAAATGTCTACAAGTAAATGGGTCTTGGAAACCCATTTAGCTATTGAATTCAACAAGAAAACATATCTTCTGAAGAACTTACTTTTGTGCCATATTGTTAAACGCATTTTCTATCCACACAATGAATTCCTGTTCCTTCTTCAGTATTTTACTGTAATGCACATTTGGATAACAGCTGCCCGAGAATCTATCTAGTACAGTAATGGTGTACAGAAAGCCCTCTCATTGTCTCATCAGTACAGAGGGGTGCACAGTGCAAGCAGAAGACTTTGAGGTGAATCAAAGTTGGGTTGACACCCCAGCTTTGGCATTTGTTGGCAGTCTTATCTTGGACCTGTTGCTTCAGATATCTGAACCTCAGTTTCCTCAACTGAACAATGGCACTAGTAATATCTACCTTGTAAGTTTAAGGAAAGATAAGACCAAGTCTGCAAAGCTACCGGCATAAGCCCTCAACTGTGTTAGATAAGCGACCCTTTTGGAGCAGTGGGCAGCACATCAGTCTCATAATTATGTTAGTTATGATTTTTAGCTGAAAAGAGGCAATTGAACGTGAAGACTGTCTCTATTTTAAGCATTATTCGTACTAAATAAAAATTTAAACTACAGTACATACCTTTGTTATCAAGATGAAGACAGTTTCCACATGCAAAATCACCGAATTTGAGATGCCTTGTATTGGTAACTAGCCTCTCTGAAGTTATTTTATAAGCTTCATCAGGTCACTGACGTTTAATTTTAATGCATGCCACACCCCCTGCAGTTCAGGAAGGTTGGACTAAAAGCTTAGCTCTGTATAAAACACAAAGATGGAATGTTTTGACCATCTCCCTCCCCCCATTTCCTTCACAGCTGCTCCCCGAAGAAGAAACAATGAGATATTGTGTGTGAGAGAGTGAGAAAGAGAAAGTGCATTTCATTCAAAACATCTTTTTTTTTTAGCTATGTGGATTTTCTAATTTAATTTGCTCAATCAGATTGTGTTTTTGAGTTTCAGTAAGATGAGTTGCAATATGTTTGCAAACATCTGGTATTTATTTTTCATTTTTGTGTAAATGAAAAATCAACAATCCCATTTCCTGAAATGGAGCATGAATTCCACCCCTTGTGGTCCCTGGCCTGGCCTGGAATGAGGTTCAGGCAACAGAGTGACGGTTAGGACTTGGAGTTGACTTTCTGTGTGATCCTGAGCAAGCTGCTCACTTCTTTGAGCCTCAGTCTCCCCACTGAGAAGTAGAGACGGTCATTTCTGTCTCCATTAGAGCTGGAGGTATAGTTCTGCAACAGTTAGGGCTAAAAGCTGAGAATGCTTAAGGTGTCTTCTGCAGCTCCTGTCTCTGTACCTTTGGTGACCTCCCCAACTACATATTCTAGGCAGCCTGTCACTGCTGGGGGACGGGGTGGGGGGGACATGCAGATTGAAGTCCAAGGGCATTTCTGATTGGGCCTTATCTCTCTGTGGAATGAATAGCTTAGACTCTTATGAATTGGATAATATGCCTTTGTGATAGGCAGGAGGTATTTTTAGTGGCAAATAGATAAGAAAGTACCATTAGAGTAGACTTAGATCTTAAATGAAATTCATTCTCAGATTTGTTAGCAATAGAGAAAAATTTATATCGTTAGGCCTTACAAACATGAAAACAACAGCATCTACAAGAGTGAATTGTTAACATACCAAACTTTGAGAACTTTTTTCTTGGCATGTTGTTTACCTTTTCAGGAAAGGAAAGGATTCTTATTCCTGTGCAGGGCACTGACTCTTGTCCCTCCTGTAATGCTTTCCCTCAGAACTCTGAATGCCATCCCCCTCCCCAAAATTCCTGCTCAAATGTCAATTTTTAAAAGGACCTTCCTGGTGTTTCAAAAACAGTACTCTTGTCACTGTCACTAAACCTGCTTCATTATATCCTTGTTATACTTTACCTAAAATTATATCCTTTATTTATGTATTTTCTTGTTTATTGTGTTTTCCCTGGAAGAAAATAAGCTCCATGACTGCAGAGAATTAGTCTCATTGACTTACTGCTGCACCCCTACACAGTGCCCATTAATACTTGTAAAATAAATGGAAGGGACCTGCTTATTCAAATAATTTACTGAGCATTCTAAGATATGCAAAAGGAACTAGAGGTAATATTTAAGAGGTTTCTCTTTATCTGCATCATTTATCACGGAGAATTGCCTATCATTAAAGAAACACACAATTAGCCACTCCTCAATGTCATATAAAAGTGTATTTCCCTCTACTATAAACAGTTGCACAGTTTTTCACAAAGCAATATTGCTGGTTTCCAATGTGTAAGATGGAGATCGATACATTTATATATTTTATTCTTCAGCATTGAATCAATTACTGTGGAGCTGAAAGAACTAGTCCAGGAGTCACAGCATGAGAAAAATCACATTATCTTTTTAGGTCTCAGTTTATTTTTTCCTGCAAATATTTATAAATGATATAATTTAGGGAAATCCTCTCTTTACATATTTCTGTGATGTAGAGCAGTGCACAAGTTCTTAGGCACCATAAATCAATTCAGACCTATGTTTTAAACAAGTCTTTATTTTTTCTTTTATTTAAAACCACCCAAAGTCAATGTTTTTTAGTTCCAAAATAATACACATTTGTTGTAAACAATTAAGATAGTAGGACTCAGGAAAATGTAGAACTCAGAAACTGTGTTTCATGATCTCACACCTCAGAGATAACTAGCAATACTTGTATTTATTCTTTTAGGTATTCCTAAACAGATCCTAAGATAACAAAAACAGCAACAAGTTCAGCATCCTGAAACTTGCTTCTTTTCATGTAGTCATGTATTTCTCCACATCAATACACATAAACCAATCTCATTTTGCCACCCCTGCAAAACCTTGCTTTTACCCAACTGCTCATTTCATCAAGGAAGTGGCTTGTGATTTTACAGGAAAGCAGTTCTTTGGTTGGTCATCTTTCATCACATAGGTGATTGCCTCAGGGGTTTTACTATAAGACCGTCAGGGAAGACAAAATGATTTTGGTGGATAAAAAACAACCCCATCTTAAAAAAAAAAAAAGTTTTCCTGGTAAAAACGTCTCTATTTTTTAACAAGTGGTTCTTTCCATCGTTAACCTGTATACTCTTCTAAAGTGAATTTGTTTTCATCAGTTAAAGTAAAGGGGAAACATCACTGTACGTTTCATGTGAAAACTCAAGAGTTCTCCATAACACAGTGCACTCTGTACGACTGCTCTCTGGACTGTCTTCCCGAGTTCTTGTCCGCTCCAGGCAGCTTCCCCCCTCTCTGCTCTGTTTGCACAGCACATGTCGTGAGGCCTCAGTCTCCTGGAGGCTGTCAGATCCTTCAGAGTAGATGTGTCTTTTTATCCCTTGTAAATTGTCTACGTGTTTGCGAAATGTTATTGGATGATTAAATGAATATAGAATGTTTAATTCTCATTACTCGTGGGATTTATTATATACTTCATGGTTTATTCAGGTCTTCTTTCCTCTCCTTCTTGCCCCCTTGTGGCCATTTCCTTTATTACTAGGAGCTGGAACCGGTTGAGCGTTGAAGGGCACCAAGCACCTGGTGAATCAGAAGAAAGCTAACGGATAAAAACTGCAACTTGACATGGCCCAGGGGAAGGACTCTGAACTGGGAGGCAGGAGGCCTGGGTTCTGGTCCTAGCTCTGTTGCTAACTCATTCATCCATTCATTCATTTTTTCAACAATATATGTCAAGCACTGCCGCATTCAGGCACTTGGTAAGTCCTGCCCATTTCGTGGTGAAGAAGAAAGACAACGTTCTAGCTCTTGTGGAGCTTGCCTTCCCAGCCAGAGTCAGACACACAGACAGAAAAATAAACATGAGAGAATAGGGTGACATGCCAGGGAGTGACTGGGTGACTACTTCAGTTGGGTGGTAAGGAAGGGGCCAGTCTGAGTACTTACATTTAGGCTGAGGAGTGAATGACAAAAAGAACCAGTCATTCAAGGATCATGGAGAAGAGCATTCCAGGAACAACTGCCAATTCTAAGATTTTTCTTTAAAATGTTTTCCTGGGAAACATTCTGAGGGAGAGAAACACTTAGAACCCCATCCAGGAAATTCTTAGAACCCTTGCCTGGGAAATTCTTAGAACCCTACCAAGGGTGCCAAGATGGGACCAGACTTTGTCTTTCAAGGAAAAGACCAGTGTGGCTGAGGTAAATAGGGCAAGGAAATAATTCAAAATGAGTTTGGAGGTAGGTAGAAGCAATAGTATACCTTGCTCTGGGGAATTTGGATTTTATTCTAAGTACAATGGGAAGCTATGGGAATGTTTTGAGCAAGAGCATGAGCAGATCATTTAGGCTACCCCGTTGAGAATGAATTATAGCGTGATTACAGAGGAATTATCTGAGAAGCTATTGCAGTCGTTCAGGTAATGATGGCTAGGACTAGAGTGACTGTACTGCAAATGGAGAGAAGTGGATGGATTTGGAATATGCTTTGCAGATAAAGTGAACAAGGATTGCTGATGGATTGAATATGGAAATGAGAAAAGAGGGGAATTAAGACTGACTCCTAGATTTATTGAATTTTTTTTTTTTTTTTTTTTTTTTAGAGAGGAAGGGAGAGAGAGAGAGAGAATCATCTAAGTGAGAGAGATACATCGATTGGCTGCCTCTTGCATGCCCTCTTTTGGGGATCAAGCCTGAAACCTGGGCATGTGCCCTGACGAGGAATCAAACCAGGACCTCTCAGTCCATGGGACAACACTCAATCCACTAAGCCACACTGGTCGGGCTGACTCCTAGATTTAAAAGTTGAACAACTGGGCTGGATGGTCATGCCAATGACTAATAGTGGGGAGACTGAGGAATGAGAAAGTTTTGAGGAAAAACTCAAGAAATTCTTCACAGATAAATTATGTCTGAGTTGCCTATTAGACATCCAGTAGAAATATGAAAAAAGCAGTTGGATATTCAAGTCAAATTTGGCGGGGGATGTCAGGGCTAGAGGCAGAAACTTGGGAATCATAAGCACATAGATAGTCTTCAAAGTCATGGGACCGGATGGAGTTACCAAGAGAAAGCATACAGTAATAGGAGAAAAGGATGCTCAGGACAGATTCCTGGGAATTTCTAACATATAGAGGTTGAGTAAAGGAGAAGGAACCGATATAAGAGACAAGGAAAAGAGGACAGTGAGCTATCACAGAGCCAAGAAAAGAAAATGTTTCAAGAAGGAGAAAACTCCCCTGGTCGCTTTGGTTCAGTGGTTAGAGCGTTGGCCTGCGGACGCTCTAGAGAGTCCCAGGTTTGGTTCCCGCTAAGGGCACATACCTTGGTTGCAGTTTGTCCCCACCCCGGTCATGTGGGTGGCAACCAGTCGATGTGTCTCTCTCACATGGATGTTTCTCTCTCTTTACTTCCCCCTCTCTCCCTCCTGCTCTATCTGAAGAGAAATGCAAAAATGTCCTCGGGTGAAGATGAAAAAAAAGGAGGAAAGCATCAACCTTTGCTGAGAGGTCAAAGAAGATAAAAAAAAAGAAGTGACCACTGGATTTAGCAACATGGAGGTCACTGGTGACCTTGACGACCGCAATCTCTATGGAGTAGAGGGGATAGAAGCCACATTTGAGTGCATTGGTAGGGGGAGTGGAGGTAGCAACTCTCTTTAAAATTGAAGGAAAGGCCGTGACCAGTTTGGCTCAGCGGTTAGAACGTCAGTCTGTGGACCCACGTGTCTCAGGTTTGATTTCCAGTCAAGGGCATGTACCTGGGTT